ATTACACATATAACGAAGAGAACTATTGAGAAGGCTTGGATTGTCTTCTGTAGATTTGTCATCTGAATTTCTAGGTTGAAAGAAGAATGGTCTAGCCTGAAACAAAAAGTAACAAAGTCGAAGCATCATGTTAACAATAAAATGTGAATCTGTGTTCTTGAAGGCATTGGGAAGATTGAGGGTGTAAGTAAAACAGACAGTTGATTAAATGTTTTAAATGTTTGTATACTAATATCACTAATATCACTACTTGACATCTTGTTGATAGGCCTTTTCTAACAAACTTTCATATTGATGCGTATAGGATACTAAGTTTGCTATGTAAAGAATATTGTAAAAGGAGTAATGTAGTTTTGGATTTTGGCAAAGTGAACTCATAATATAAGTTAGCCAAATTTAGTGGCTGGAAATGCTATATTTAATACCATTAAAATAAGAAATGCAATTATCTTATTCACATAGCTTGTATCAAAATTCTTTAATGAAAGACCCCTTTTCTTTCTTTTTCTAATTAATATCTCGTATTTTTTCTTTGTAATATTTCAATAAATTCATTAAAAAAGTTTGTCAGATATGAAGGAAAACTATTCTGATATTCCATTAGTGATGTTGGATTTTCAAGTTTGGTTTTATTTTTTATACATTATGTCATGCTTTCCATGTTATAATTCCTAATGTTTTGCCAAAGTTCATGACTGTTTCAGAAGTGAGTTCATATTTTTGATTCATAATTTTGTTATATTAACGTGCTCTAGTCTCAAAGCAATTTTACAAAAAGAAGGCTAGGATAATTTGCTACTATTGAAGAAAACTTAGTATTATAAAATGTTGAAAGCATATTAGTCAAATATACTAAGAGATTGTTTTTATTATTCTCGTCAGTGGATTCTGCTATAGATAAGACCTAGTGACCTATAATTCAAAGTGATTTGCTTGTATCATCCTTATGTATATCTATGCATTTAAAATTTGACATATTTTCACAGCCTCTTCGCTTATAAAAATGCCCACTATGTATAACAAAATACTTTAAACATATAAATCTAAGTTGATATTTTGCTTGATCATTATTATTATTAATATTTTCTGATTCTATCTCCTGTTTAAATATAGGGCAAACCTTAAGTTTAACATAAGGAATTTGCACATATTTTCCAAAAACATATCTCGAATGCTGTATACAAGTCCTACTCTGACTAAAAAAATGTTTGTATTTGTTACAAAATAAGCAACGCTGGCAAAAAATCCAACTTTTTTCAATTGAACATGTCTTTTTGGTATTTGGAAGATGAAGCTAATTTTGATTATAAAGAAAGTGGGAATAACATACATCTATTGTTGACAAATCATTTTTTGTTTGAACTTTTTGAAAAATCTTTGGAATGATCTTTCAAGTTTCAATTAGTTAGAAAAGTAGCTTCTATCTTTCCGAATAGCTTGAATAGCATTGAATAGAACTATTATTAATGTCTAAAATTGGACATTCTGATAAAGATTCACTAGCGTTTATTGTGTCTATAACAAAATATTCATTTCTATCAGTTGATCCTAATGTAGTCAACTCTGAATCAAATATTAAAATTGTTGATGTATTAATATCTACTTCAGTAGCAATATCAATATCATTGATATCTTTTAATAAAAATATATCATTATTTTATCCTCTTCTATAAGTTTTCTTGCTCTTTCAAAATTGGTATTATTAAAAGAAAAAGCATTTCTATATCATAATTTAATGTACTATTATCACTTCCAATACTCCCTACAACACTCTCTGATATAAGACTTTCAGTAAAGGCTATGCTTTCCAAATTATCATAATCATTAGGAACATAATCAAAATTATCATAAATATTTAGTAAGTTTGTATCAGATATAGTAAAAGAGACGAATTTTATAAGATAAGATGATTAACACTAAGTAAATATCATCAATAAAAAAAAAGAATTTTATAAAAAAAATAGAAATGGTATAAAACTAAAAAATTTACTACTCTAAAGAATAAAATAATACTAAAACTAAATTTCTAACTAACAAGTTATTATTATCAAAAAAAAATTTAAGAAAAAAAATGAAAGTGACTTTAATTTAACGTTGATTCTTTAACGTTAAAAATTATAAGGTCTTTATATAACGATAAGATTATTTAATATTTATTTTTTTATAGATAACGTCTTATTAAGATATAAAATAGAGCACAAATATAAGTATATAAAATAAATAAAGAACTATCTATCTTAAATTAGTAATTCTATGATCACATCCCGTCTGATTACTTTTCAATAGAAGTAATAGTTATTATTTTGAGTGACAAATTTGTCGATCTTTAATTAATGCATTTTGTCATACTTTTTGATACATTCTTAAATATCATATTACATGCAAAAATATTATAAGGCGTAAAATCAATATTTCTTTAACATGTGAATAGATTAAAAAAAATGCATATTATAATAGTAATGATAAGTTTAACGTTTTAAAGTTAGTTAAAGTTAATTAGTCTGAAGTATAATGAGGACTTATATATAATGATACAGAAATATCCCATTATCTGTCTAGTATGTGATGATATTTCACATTTCAGACTTTGTAACATTTTTGTTTCCTAGTTTATGTAACTTAATATTAATAATAATATCAATATCGATAACATTTTTAGCAATTCTTTTAAATTAAACTAAGAAGTTCTTGAAATTAGATTTATATGTAAATTTATTAGCACTATAACTTTACTTATAAATAAAAGGTAGATTAAAAATGCTGATTTTGAGTTTTATATGAAGAAACTGCTAAAAATCTTAAAATCAAACATAAAAGTTAATTGTAAACTTTATTTGTTTAATATATAATTCTGAAATATGATAATTATATGTAAATTTATCAGTGTTACAACTTTACTTAGAGATAAAATGTAGATTAAAAATTCTGATTTTGAGTTTTATATGAAGAAACTGTTAAATTTACTGCATCACATGATTTTATTTTAAAATTTTCGATGGAAGATTCTTTAATACTATCATTATTATATAATATTAATAAATAGACTTTTAAAAAGAAGAGGTTCTGGTTATACTTATATTAAAACAACAAAAAGTTACAATCATTAAATTTTGATATTTAGCATATAATTTAAAGTTGTGAACTAGCTTTTTTATATATAAAAATTGTGAAAATGCAATTTATCATTCTCTTAATTAAAGCAATTCTCACAAAATTAAGTGATAAAATCTTGTGTAATTTTGAATTAAGAAATCTTATACATCATGTTTTTTGAGCTTTTACAATTAGTATAAAATTTTAGTAATATATCTTATGACTGATAAATTTTATTGATTTTATTATTGCCATTTTCAAATTAGTATGATCAGGTGATTTATTGATTAATTAAAAAAAATCATAAATACTGAAAACATTGAAAACAACAAAAAAATTTAAAAATACTAGAAAAATATTTAAATAATACTTGAAAAAAATAAAAAAGTAATATTAAAATATAAAAATAATTGTTACATTAAAAATAACAAATTATATAATAAAATTAAACAATTTTTTCATTCTTATTATTAAAAATAAAAAATTCTTCCAAAAAATGAATGATTTCTCTAGTAATTTAAAACATCAAATATTTCTAAATATATTTATAATAAGAATATATTGGATCCATGAAAAAAATGCATTTTTATAAAAAATCAAAAATTTCATATTAGAATGAATTATTATAAAAATGATAAAACTCATCTAAAAAACCATTTCTCATTACTTATATATATTTTATAAAAAAAAATAAGCTAAAACAAAGCCTTTAGAAGAAAACTTATTTAGGAATCACAATAGGAATCTTGTCAATAATTGTAATAATTGCTAAGGAATCATTTTAGAATCATTAGAAAATTAGGAATTATTTTATAAGCTAAAAAAGCTTTTACATATTAAATCTTACTAATATAAAAGGTTCAAATACTCTATATTATGAAGGTTAATAAAAGTTAAAAAGTTATGAAAAAATAGTTTCTTTAAGAAAGTCTTTTTAAAGTTTACTTTGGTGTAATCTAAAAATCCTTTTTTTATTATAATTGTTAACAAATCACTTGATCATACCATTTTGAAAATGGCGATAATTATAAACTTAAAATAACATGATTATTAATTTCTTTTTTTTTAAAAAAAAGATATTGCTTTAAATAATAAATAATAATAAATAATTCAATCAAAATAAATAAAACTTAAATTATTACAAATAATGAAGATAATTAAAAATATCATTTACTAATTTTTTTATTTTATTATTAAATAAATAAATTAATTATTATTACATAAGTAAAATTGCTTAAATTATATTAATTAAAAAACTTAAAAGAAATAAATAATGAATTTTTATTTTTAAAATAGAAAAAAAAGGAAATTTTAATTAAGATAACAAAATAAAAAAAAAATAAAAAATAAATTTTATTTTATCCAATAGCTATTTTTAAAAGAAAAAAAGAAATAAAAGCTAATTACATTCTTAAAACATTAATAAAAATATCAAGAAACTGAAATCCAAGTTAAGAATAATCATAAAAAAACAAGAAACATTAATAATATTCCTCAAAAAAAATAAAAAAAAATTTACTATTTTAACAAATGAAATCTAGAATCGCCACTAAAAAAAAAGGAATCTCAACCTTACCAAAATCCAAGACTACTACTTTTGTAACTGTAAAATAACCTATGAAAATATTTTAACAATAATTAATTAGCATTTTTTTTAATTTATTTTAGTTTTATAAATTTATTTTTTTAATTTATTTTATTAAATTTAATATGTTTGTATACCACTAGAATAAAATTCCTAAAAAAAAAAAAAAAAATAAAAAAATGTTTTCACTCACCATGCCGAACCCTCCACAAATCCAAGACCACCACTAAAGAAAAAAAAAGAAAAGAAATATTAATAAAGTTTCTAAAATAAAAATAAAATATAAATATAAATAAATTTCTAACCCTCTACCTTATCAAAATTCAAGACCACCGTTAAGAAAAAAAAAGAAAAGAAGCATTAACAAAGTTCTTAAAACAAAAAAAATAAAATAAAAATAACCACTCACTATTAAGCGAAAGCTGAACCCTCCCCTCCACCTTATCAAAATCCAAGATCACCACTAAAAGAAAAAAAAGAAAAGAACATTAAGTTCCAAAAAAAAAATAAAAATAAAATAAAAAAAATCACTCACTATTAAACGAAAGCTGAATCCTCCACCTTCCAAAATCCATTTTAACGAAAGCCTTCGCTAAAAAAAAAAGTAGAATCAGTAAATTCAGCAAATTCAGCAACAATTTTTCCGGCTGTTTTCCCCTTTTCTATTGCAAAGAATATTGCTTGTATTCTTTACTTTGGCAATGATCGATATTCTCAATTTATGAATCGATCGCGCATTTTATTTTTAATATCGCCTCACCTCCTTTGTTTATTTCACAAAAACTGATTTATCTCAAAAACTACTATAAGGTAGATTCCCCCCTTTCTATTGCAAAGGGCCCATATGATGATGATCTTGGTCATCGTTGACGTGTTCTGATAATCTAAAAAATTTTTTTTTTAGCTCGAACAAGGCTTACCACCACTACGTATCTGAGAGAAACAGTTGTAGGTTAATCTATATCTGGCTAAGTGCAAGTATATTAACATATTGTGATTTTAAATTAATTAACGAGAATGTTCCTTGTATATTTTTACTATTGATATAAGAAAATTTATAATTATATAATTATTTAATAAACTAAGTTACGATACTCTCTTCTCTCTTCGCTAAATAACACGTTACATTTAATCATTCTGTCTATTTTGTAATCTAAGTTTATTAAGTATTTGATCACATTATGCATTAAAATCAAACTCGTTAAAATACTTGAATTTTATTCTGATGATGATCCTAATTTTATGTATAGGATGGAATTATGAATTTGCGATTTTAAATGATTTTTTCATTCGAATAGAATTACAGAAGATCCTTTAAAGAGGTGCGATATAAACAAAAGCACTTTTATATTTTATCAAATATTTATTTATTCCTGCAACTTCTATACCTAGCAAAGATTTTTTCAAATGCAGAAAATTATATTTAGTAAAATGTAAATTACATTGAATTGAATCAAGGTTTAATTTTATCGCTGTTTTCGAATTAGTGTGATCAGGTGATTTGTCGATTAATTAAAAAAAAATCATAAACACTGAAAATTTTGAAAACAACAAAAAAAATTTAAAATTATTTAAATAACACTTGAAAAAAATAAAAAAGTAATATTAAAACACAAAATAAATGTTACATTAAAAATAACAAATTATATAATAAAATTAAACAATTTTTTCATTCTCATTATTGAAAATAAAAAATCCTTCCAAATAATGAATGATTTCTCTAGTAATTTAAAACATCAAATATTTCTAAATGAATCCATGAAAAAAATGCATTTTTATAAAAAATCAAAAATTTCATGTTAGAATGAATTAGTATAAAAATGATAAAGCATTTCTCATTAATTAAAATATATTTTATAAAAAAAAAAAGATAAGCTAAAACGAAGCTTTTGAAAGAAAACTTGCTTAGGAATCGCAAATAGGAATCTCGCCAATAATTGTAGTAATCGCTAGGGAATCGTTTTGGAATCGCTAGGAAGCTAGGAATCGTTTTATAAGCTAAAAGAAACTTCCACATATTAAACCTCACTAATACACAAGGCTCAAATACTCTATGTTATGAAGGTTGATAAAAGTTAAAAAGTTGTGAAAAATAGTTTCTTTTTTAAAGTTTACTTTAGTGTGTAAAATCCTTTTTTTATTATAATTGATCGACAAATCACCTGATCACACCATTTTGGAAACGGCGATAAAAAAAATTAGTTAAACACCTCAAGATATCTAATCTTATCTATCATTTAAACATGTAATTAGCTCAATATTTTTTTATTTTAATAAAAATCAAATAAAAAATATTTTTTATTTAATATTATATTGCCTGGATCTTAAATTTAAAACCGGTTTATGATGTATAATACGGGTTTTCAGGGTGCAACGACTGAATGATTTCATTTTTGTTTTGGATGTTGCGTCCTCTTTTCGGGTGGTTCGCTCCCAAAAGTATTAAGCAGCGCAGGTGGTTGTTTTTGGATCTACTAGTACTACATATTAGCTTTTTATTTGTGCGATCTAAGATTAAATTTTTTTTTTTAAAAAAAAAAATTTTTATATAATGAAAATTAAATTTTAAATTTGTACATCTTTTGACGCTATTCTTCGTTATTTTATATACTCTATATATTTTTTTTTTTTTGTTTTTTTTTTGCGATTTTAATGAATTTTTCATTCGAATTTTATTAAACTTCAGCAAATAGATATTACATCCTTTAAAGTGGTGGAATGTAAACAAAAGCAAGCTCTTATCTTTTATCTGAACTTTATATAAAAAATATCTACTACTCCTGCAACTTCTGTATCTAGCGAATATTGTTTTCAGACGCAAGTAATTGAAAGAATCTATAAAGCAAACTTAAAAAATAAAATAATTAATTTAAAGAAATTAAAAACTAAACTAAAAAAAAAAAAACGCCGCGTACTTCAAGCTGGAAGAGGATATAATTTAATTTTAATAATTAACTAGGAAGATAGAACCAGATCTCGATGAATAATGGAAAGAAATAGAGCTTGATTCACGTTTCATTCCTAGTCAGAGTTCATTTATCGAATGGTGTAATCGCCCAAGGATTATTATAGGCTATTACCGAATTGGCCGAGTTAACAAACGGATTCATCGTTTGGTAGCAAAGAGTTTGTGAGTCATATTGACGTGATTCTACCAAAAACAACGTGTATAATCTCATGTTATAAAATTATATAAAATATAAAATAAGAATAAATCCTAAATCTATTGAAATAAACTCGGAATTTTTTGTTTTAAAAACTAGCCAGTACTTCTTACATTATATTAGTGTACATTTGGTTTATGCAGCACGATAAGCGACATATATATAAAGGTGTTCAGTTTATATTCACATTGCATAAATTCGATTTTATTTATTCGTTTTCTTTACCAGAATAAACTATACGTTCCGTATAATAAACTAACAGTAATACTAAAAATTTCATTTTAAAATATGAAAAATAAAAATAAGTTCGCTCTTTTAAGAGTTGTTCTTTTTATTTTTACATGAATTTTAAACTGAAAGGTTTATCGGGTTAGATCCATACTCGTAACACTATAATCGGTCACCAAGATTGGTTTCTAAGAAGATATCAAGTAGATAATAAATCTTTTAAGAAGAACGATAATATATCGTTCAAGAAAGAATGATAACTTAACGTTCTTAATAATTCCCTTGTATGTATACTTTGAAAAATGCCTCTATAAGGTCCGAATTATCTCTTTTTAGATTCTGCAAAATACAAGACATTTTCTAAAAATTTGAGAATATGTATTTTGTGTAGTTTTATTTATTTTTATACGAACTTTACTTTTATATGTGAAGAAATACTACCTTTGTATTCTTGACTAACAAAATGCTCACAAAGAAATATTCTTTAGAAATGGTAAGTGTACTCCATGCAAATTTCTTCCACACAAGCTGATGGATAAAGGCGAAATTATTTATGAGTCGAGTCGAGTTAAATTTAAGAATCAACTCTCTTTTTTCAAGTCAAATTTTATAAAAATTTGACTCAACTTGTTTCGAGTAAAATAAATTTTTACTCAATTCGACTCGATTTAAACTCAAATTTATTCAAGTCAGATTAAGATATCTAACTTAGATTTGTTATAATTGTTCAAATTCATATAAAACAAGTAATAATTATTTCACTGTGATATTAATGATTTTCGATGAAAATCATACAAATCATATATATAAACCCAAATGAAAACTTTATTAATCTTTTCAAAAGATCAAAATAAATTACCGATCAGTCAAAAAATAATTATTGTGAAATGTAAAATATTTAAATTTAAGACTTCTTATTCAGAATAAATGTTATGGTAATAAATTCTATCAATAAAATTACTACACTAATAAAAATGATAAAAAATAAATTAAAAATAAAATAATATTATTCAATTATATTAGATGTCATTGCGCAAGCTAGATATGGTCCTATTTCAGGTTTTCCGCCCATTGTTTCTACAACAGCAACTTTAAGTAGATATTGAAAAGGTAAAGGTGGTGTCAGAAACTTAAATTTTTTAGTAAATTGAGTATTAGCTTCAATTGAACACTCTGTTCCTTTACAAATTCTTTCAAGATGATGATCGCCTACGATTCGTTTAAATTCAAGATCGTAATAATAAGCAATAATTGCGGTATTTTCTGTAATTTTTGTAGGTATAGTTCCAGAAACATTAAAAGTTGCGAGTTTTCCGGAGACGACTGGATCAGGATGAAGTGTAACAGAGAGTAGGGGTGTTGAAAATCTACCATTGTCACATTTTTGAAATTCTGATTTTGCATTGGCTGTGGAAAAAACCATTAAAAGTAATGCAAAAATAAATTTTCGGTTCATGATTATTATTTTCTTTACAAAGGTATGTTTTAATTTTAATCAAGTTTTTTTTTTTCAGACCAAGTTGAGAATCAGAGCCTTTTTATAAAGAAATAAAATATTCGTTCCAATAATCAATCCTTTTGTTCTAAAAGCTAAAAAATTTCTATTTTGGATTACTTTTTGTGTGATGATCATATATTTACTTTCGTTTTATTTTGAAGAATAAGAAGTAATGATATAAACGAGAATAAATTTTTTTTGATTATCCAGTAGGATGTAGGGATTGTATTAATAATCGCAAATCGAATCATAATCGATTATTTTCGACATTTAAATAAGCAAACCACTTAATTTGATTTGAGAAGAATAATTGCGAAAAGATCAATAATAACAACCCTAATTACAAAATTGAACTATAAAGCAAACTCAAATAGATAAATCTAAAGCGCGGACAAATAAAAAAAAATAAAAATAAGAAACTAAAAACTAAACTAAAAACAAATAACACCGCGTACTTCAAGTTGGAAGAGGATTTAATTTAATAATTAATAATTTTAAAATCAGATCCGATATATCACTACGGCCCAAAGTGAAAGAACCCCAAAAAAGTAAAAAAAAAAAAAAAAAATTAAATTAATAATGAATACTTTTAAAAAGTCCATATTTTGTTCTAATAGAAGATGGGCTAAATGATTTTAACAGAAGTTTTCTTTGACCAATTTCCTTTTTAGGATGATGATCCCTCATATTTCGCATTGATCTGCTAATTATTTTTTTATTTTAGTATTACAGTAAATGTCGATTAAAACCTTTGTTTTTTAATTAAAAAAATTTTTTTTTCCATTACTAGTAACATAATATTAACAAATAAAGATAAATTGTTTCTTTTACAAAGATAAATTATTAAAAGAATTAGAAGGTAATAAATCATTAAATTTTAAATGAATATATTATCAAAATCATTTCTTACTAGAATCAGTTTTAATTGACAAATATTTTTGTAGGTAAGGTTTATAGTAGATATTTAAGCATTAACCTGATACAATATAACTTATCGTTTTTTTTATTTCAATGATTACAATGAAGTTTCGAGCGTCAGAAAAATTTTTACATTTAAAATAACAAATTTACTTTTACTAAATTTATTAACAAATTTGAAACCGAACCCGTTTTATTATGATGATAAATGCAACAATAAATATTATTTATTGATTAATACTATAATTCGTTAACTTTCAAAATATTTCTCAAAAAAATAAATACATTATTATATTATAGCCAGTCTCTACATTAAGAGAAATATATATAGCAATAAATATTAATCTATTTGTTAACGTTAACTTAATTCTTAATAATATTTTAGTTGATAAATTATTTTTTAAATAATAAGAGTTCTGGATCAAATGAAATGATCAGATTTAATTTCACTTAAGAACAATTGTTTGAAAAAATTTTTAATTTGGTCCCTTTTTTCCAGGCACTCACGCCATTTGGTGAGGACCAGGCTACACATCTCTTTAAGCAATTGTTTGAAAAATAATACATTCTAGTTTCGATTTACTTATGAAAAGCGTATAAAAGGATTAATTAATCAATCTCCTCTTATTTTTTTTGTAGCAAGACCACGAACTACTAATAGAATTCGGTGAGTCTGACATAATTGTTTCGAATTATGACTTGCGAAAGTAGTTGGAAAAGTCATTAAAATGTAATTGTGGATAATAACAATAAAGATAAAAGGAGCTAAGCGCTTGTGCTTTAGCCCATAACAGATAACAATTAGTAATGAAAATCGAGATCTCCACAAAAGCCGCGCAAAATGACCCACGGTCTATTCTATTAATAGATTTTGAAAAACAAACTATAGCAATCGGCTTATAGTTTTAAGAAATGTTTCTTCCTAGACTGACGAAAATTTCATTTAATCATTCTACATTTCATCATGTTGCATTAAAGAATGCCTTGCAAATTCAATACAAAGAACGCGTGAATTAATTTTAGAGGGATTATCGAATTCATGCCAAACGATATTATTATTAACATCACGTTCATAAATTCTCACTTTGCAAGCAAAAGGATCGATTGATAGATAAGCATAAAACATTAATATCAAAGATATATTCACCTCAGCTCCATTGAAGCCGTGAATCCGTGACTGTGCCGAAAATAGGTCATGTGATCTAAATGATCGACATAGTTGACGAAGTTGACAAAGTTGCTAAAGTTAACGTTGATCTAGTGTGGACAAATTAGATAAATTGATTATAGTTGTTATATTTATTAATTATATCTTATTCATTATAATTATTATATTTATCATAGTTGTATTATTTATTCTTTTTATTATATTTGTTATAGTTGATTTTATATTATTTTATTTCATATAAATATCTTGTATTTTCTCGAGTTGAAAAGTAACTCGAGATAGGGTTTTAGGATAACCAAGAGTTCAATAAAGGAACCTTATAAATTCATTTGCTATTACCTTTTTCCGTGTCTTCATATAGGCGTGATTGTGATATTGTCTTGTATTTAATTCAACGGATTGAATTAAAAGTTTATCGTTTAA